TAGAGTATCTGAGTTAGCTTTAATTTAGTTAGGTCCAATAGAGATAGCAGCTTCTACGGAGACTGCATGAATGCCACCAGGAACCCTGGTTTTTAATCTAAAGCAAATAGTCCATGCTTGAACTGGCACATTACACATACAGTCACCAAAATTAGCAAGGTTGCATTTGTTTTAGGTGTATGTGCTCCGCAATATGAAGGTGCAACTACAGAACACGCATACATTAAAGCAGCCTATATATTGGTATAACACGTCAAGTTGCAGCTACAGTTCCAGAGGGGATGCAGCTCATCTCTCCTAACATACAGTTCTCCTTTACTGAAGCTACTACAATACACAACACAAATAATGATTTTATTTTTTTATGGCATCAAACACCTTATTCTCCCGCATTCCTCATACCAATAAAACTTTGAGAAGTATACAACTATAAAACTGTGTGTAAGTGTACTAACCCCTGGAAAACTGCCAGGAACACTAACAGCTTCACCTCCAATTCAGAAACACAGAAAACATCCATTTACTAAAGTGGTACACGTTTAAAATTAAACATATATTTAAATGTTAGGTAAAATATTTTAAATCAGCATGGGCTCAATTGTTCTCTCACACAGGGGTGCAGAACAGCATGCACTTAACTGCCTGCCTGGACAAGGACTCAGAGGAAGACACTCGGCCTTCCACCCAGCCACTCATGTTACGGCCAGCAGTCATCACGCAGCCAAGCTACCAGAAGGCGCGTACATACAACAGTGGACAACAAAAAGCAATGTGAATAGAGACTGGCACAAAGGGGAATACAAAACACTGGAGGAAGACATCAGGCTACACAAAGGAACCTCAGCACAGCAAGAGTCAGTGGGCAAACTACTCCAACTTCTATAAAGGACACAACTCTTGTGGGGTCACAGACACATAACTCCCTTCCAGCAGAAGGGAAAAAGCTCTCCTGCAACAAATCCACACCTAGATTCCCCTGGTCTCAGCAGCCCGTATTGCAGCTATCAGATAACTAGTGGTTTCCCCAAAGCTCTTTCTCCTCTCTCTCATGTTCTTCTGCTCAGAGTAAGGAGTCAATAGATGGAGAAGAGCTCAGACTTATAAGACAAATTCAGTTTTAACTTCAACTTGGAGAGGCTGCCATATGTATCATAGTGGTTTGTAAAAGCTCTGACCTAAAGAAAAAAAAGCATGCAAACCAGACAAATTAAATTTAATTTTATTATGGAAATGAAAGTAATAACAGAAGTGACAGCAGGGTGGATGATAAGCTCACTTAGCAGGGGGATCAAATGAAGTGATGACATGTCATTATGACCTCAGGGGTTAAAGATGCAATTTTCCATCTGGCCGCATCTGGCTTTTCAACATAAATGTTGACACCACCTGCCGAGATTTACTACAAGCTGCTTCCATAGGTCTTTGTCTCGCTTTTGTTACCCAGGTTAACATTTACTTTTCCCTCTTTTCTGGTAAGTTTTGCTGAGCAACATGCTCCCTGTCTTCAAAACATAACGAACAAAGGATTTTACATGCCACATTACACAATAGATCAAATTATTAATAGTAACTTCACAAGCAGCTCAAAGAGAAATAGTAGAAACTTAGAAAGCAGGTAAAGCTTTACAATTGCAAACAGGAAGATGAAATTTCAGCTACACTTGCTAATATTTTGCATTGTCGAAGACTTCTAGGAATCTAGTTTTCTCTTAATAACAGGTATCCAAATGAAATAATTTATCTGAAAAAATCTTTAGAAGAACTAGACTGTACTCGCCATATTGAGTATTAGCCACCTGCACGTGTTTTATTCAACAGCTTCATCATTTCCAATTCCAGATACATTGTGTTTAAAGTAATCTTTTGCAGCCCAGTGACACATTCACTTATTCATCTAATTTAGCCACAATCAAACTATGACCTCAAACCAAATTTGTAATCAACTATTGACACACTGTTGGCTATAAGGTTTTTGTTTCCATGATAAATATTTAAATGCCAGTACCTAACGTGGTGTTGCTGTCTTGCAGGCTTAATCTGGGAACAGGACTGTATGCTCACTACCACTTGATACATCCATTTTTGCCTGTGCCAAACTTTTTTCCTAAACCTACAGCTCCTAGACTTTTCTCTGCCATTACAGGTGAGCTAAAAAGTTTGTTTCCAGCTGTTTTTGAAGTACACTGATTCTTCTCTAGAAAGAACTTAGAGTCTGTCTGAACTGTTTAAATAAAGAGGCCCCTACCTCCACTAGAACTTGGTTATATACCAGGGAAAAAAAGAAAAACCCTCCACAGGTTTTTGAGAGCACCCTGGGACTACAGCTATGAAAAGAGAGAAGAAAATGGAGACAAAGAAAGTTAATGAAGCTTGCATGGAGCAAAGAGTAGCTAAGAAACAAAACAGAGAAAGTATCCAGACTGATTGGACACGCAAATAAATTCATTGAAAGACCATCACAAAAATACCTATAAATATCTTCTCCCTCCAAAAACTCTTGCACCACAAAGCGGGATGTTATGGAATAGAAGATGTACCACCTCCCTCTCCAGATACCTTACCTTGGGGAGCTGGGAACCCTTGTTCTTAACAGACAAGTCACCACTCATTTCTATATCTGTTAAGGTATTTTCTGAATGACAAGTGAAATTTGTTTTTCCCTTCAACATAAGGGAAAAAACAAAGTGTTCCTGTTTACTTCGCACATGCTCAAATTCAAGCACATGCTTCATTGCTAAACTGGAGTGACTTAAGCATATGCTTAAATGCTTTCCTGATTCAGACCCTAAAAATAGGCATTTTTTTTGCAGTTCCCCTTTTTTTTGTTCTCCTAATGACAGACAACTATTGTGCCATGTCATTATGACAATAAGATAGCTTAATTGCCCTCTTTCCAGAAGCTGTCAGTTCTGCTTAACTGGAACATAATGTATGCGTCTGGGAGTAAATATGTTAATACATCACTCACTTATATCTACCATACATTTTCCTCTGCTGTATTTAAAGAAAGCCTTGGGGTTTATGACTGACTTGCTAGACATTATATTCATTGATATGGGCAGCAGTGATATTACTGTATTAGGACTCATTTCTTCAGGAAAGATGCATGAAATAACTTTTTCCTTCTTCATTTACTGCACTTTTTCAACTCAACTTCAATCCGAATATGAGTTTCCCTATACTTGTATTTAAGGCCTCCTCAAAAAAATACAGCATATAATGAACTGGCTGTTCCTGTAACTCATCAGGATTGAGCAATCAAAATGTTTGGAAATACCTGTGGTTGCTTTAGAATCCCAGACTGGTTTGGGTTGGAAGGGACCTTCATAAAGCCCATCCAGTTCCAACCCCCTGCCATGGGCAGGGACACCCTCCACTAGCCCAGGTTGCCCAAAGCCCCATCCAACCTGGCCTTGAACACTTCCAGGGATGGGGCATCCACAGCTTCTCTGGGCAACCTGTCCCAGTGTCTCATCACCCTCATAGTGAAGAATTTCTTCCTAATATCTAATCTAAATCTCCCCTCCTTCATCTCCCCTTGTCCTGTCACCACACGCCCTTGTAAGCAGTCCCTCTCCAGCTTTCACAACATTTTGTGCTTTGTTACGTATAGGAACATAGTCACTGAAAGCATACAGAGAAGAGTAAGAATCAAAAATGTCTACAACATGCAATAAGCAGCTATGAATTGAAGGCCTTTAATTCTCTAAGAAGTACTGGTAAAGTCACACTCAAAATATACAGCCTGTGCAAGCTGGCTCAATTCTCTTTCATATTGCTCTTTCTGATCATGATTATTATCAAGTTCCCTCTATATCCCCTCACTGCTTTTGTGTCTTGTGCACTTGAGAAGTTCTTTTTTCTCCCACAGTCTCTCATTAAATTGTGAACTGGTATGCAAAGACTATTTTTAACCACTGTTTTATGAGTCTATATGTTGCTATATTAACAAATATGACAATGGCATTTTTTCTGTTTATATTAGTAATGCCTTCCTTTTCAGAGAAATATTACTTGCAACTCATACACATACTTTTGTGGGCCCTTCAGAGAAGGCTGTGAAGACATAAAAAGGAAGGAAGAAAAAACAAAAGCTGTATGAAAAATAAAAATAAATCTGACAAGAACAATATAAAGCTTAGTAAGATTTGAACATGCAACTTTCTTCGTTCATTTAATCCATTAATCACTGTTTTCCTATGAATACTTTGGTTTTTAAACCATTACAGCATGCTGATACTTCTAACCAGTCTGGTTCAAAGTTCCCAGGACTTTGGAGAAAAATAAAGCCACACTGACTCCATCGAAAGAACACAAGTGAGAGACCAAAGTGCTGAAGTGTAGGGACTTTGCCTGGAAGCAGCAGAGTCACTGTTTCCTCTCAAATGAAGTGAAGCCAAAGCATATTGCCAGGAAGAGAGAGCTGGCAAGCAACTACAGGGGCAAGAGTACACAGCACACAGAGATTTGTGACAGTTATTCTGGTGTTAATAATCAATTAGTATAACTGCTACAGTCTATAAATCAACTGTTTCATATAGATGTAAATGGTTTGCATGTGCGCCTGACTAGAATTGAAAGTTGTCAGTTCTATTGGAAGTTATAAATTCAACCCTGAACTACGGAGTTGTTTCCAACATTTTTCCTAATGTTATATAACTGCTATATAAAAACTTCTCTTATTAAGAAAGATCACAATAGAATGAAAATTGCCCAGAAGCTGTTTTCCCCCCCAAACCATTAATATATTAATGAAAATTCACATTTTTATTTAAAATACAATTCCTCCCTCCTATCCCCAAAGATGCCACTACATTAAAAAAAAATGCACTGAATGTCTATTCTTACTGTGTATGTTGGATAGCCAAGGTTACTAAATGAAAAAGACTCATCACATTTCCATTTACAGGAGACAGCATTTTTTTTATTTTACTGATACTTGTTCATAGATGAAGTACACTAAAAACATTTCCCACATCAATAACTACTTAAGAACTTACTTGGTTTTTTGAATCCAGATGCAATAGTCTGTAATGAAGAGATCATTAAGGATGTAGCCAGGTTCATTCTCCATAAAAATCTTGTGAATGTCCAGCAGACACTTCAAAACTGCAGCTCTTCCTGGAAATAGATTTTTATTTTTTGTAATTCACTAGAAATCATAATAGATTCTTTACCATCTTCTCACCTTTGAGGCTTTAATAACCATATCTACAACCATCTTGCAACTTTAAGCTGATTCAAAGTCTCAGAACAGCAGTAATATGACTACGCCCTTCAGTACCCACATCTATGTGGATGTGGAGCCTCTGAATTCAGGAGCCTCTGCAAGACTAAAGCCTCAAGGCATAGTCATGCGTGTAATTCTCTACAGCTGAAGTAGCCCCCTCCCCCAGCTTTTCCACTTCTCCCAGCTGTGCCAGCCCAAACTGTAGCACAGCCATACAGTGAACCATATTTAAAAAAAAAAAAGGCAAGCTGAAAAGTAACTTGCAAATAACAAAAAGTTATGCCTCATCATTTATCTGAAGAAAGAGAAAACCTATTTCCCCATATGTGTACACAAATACCTGTGCTGGAAAATAAAAAGGTTGGGAACACACAGCACACAGCAGAGATGAGCACGCAGGAGCCCCAGCAGTTGTAAAGCCAATGTAAGTGACGCCATCACCTAACGTCTAACCACTACCTTGAATTAAGCAGAACTTTTCCTACTTCTGTTCGTTACAGAATAATTTGGCAAAGTGAGCCCCCAGAATGAAAACCTCACTTCAGGCTCAAGAAGGTGCCATTTGACATACAGTTGATAAATGCAATACAAGATTAAAAACTTTAATGTTTTCTCATTCCACAACCAGAAATCTTTCTGTAGTCAGTTTGTCTTCATATGCCACCATCATTTATGAAGAAAATGGATTAACATAACCTCCAATTAGCTGGAATCTCCTCCCTTAGTTTTCTGATGAAGGTTGCTGAAGGGTTAAGTGCTGGAACAGTAAAAAAAAAAAATAAATTTCACTGTTTAATGGGTGGCAGGGGGGGAACATTCAAATGAAAACAGCCACTACTGCAAATGGAATCTAATAACTCTCTCCCAAGAGGCTGGCTCCTCCTAGGCTATGAAACCTGAACATGGATGAAATTACATTTTACAGATTAGGAAAAAAAAAAAAAAAAAAGATCAGAACTCCCCCTGCTGTTCAAGCACAAAATTTGTTTGTTTTTTCAGCACAGAATCACTTAAAAACATATAGGCAGAGAATGAAAGTTAAAGGATGTGTGAGATGCCAATAAGGAGAAAGAACCTGAAGAGTAAAAAGCCATGGCAAACAGAACTGAAAATAATGCACTGGTTTGGAAGAAAGCAACTGAAGAAATGTCAGGAAAGAATGCAAAAAGAAAACAGAAAATCCCAAATAACTGATGAACTTTTAGATTGTATCACCATCAGTGCTTGTCAAGCCAAGCTTGTCAAACTTAACTATTTTGACTAAAAAGAAGTGTGCTGTTTTAAAGAGAAGTGATATGTGGAATTAAAATTTTGCTAATTTTTTTGGTTCTAGCTGTCAAGCTGCCAGCCAGAACCATTTACAACATCCACAAGTCTTACTTATCTGCCAAGTAACAATGTAAATTAGTGACGATAACACTAATTCTCAATAAAAGTAGTCTTTCTTCATGAATTCAAGTTTTAGATTACAGTAGCTTAACGGGCCTCTAATCAGAGAGGTTGCAAATCTAGCCAGACTTAATAATGTAGGGAACTCCACATACAGGCAAACACACAGAGCATGGCAAATTACCAAACTCCTGCTTTCAGAATATGCATCCTAATACATGCAGCTTATAAACAAGAAATCCTCCTACAAAACTCCATTTAACTCCTTATCATAGGAATGAAGAAAAATAAGAGGTGCGGAGCAAACACTATTTAAGCCTTAACATAGGCTATTCCCTGACATAAAGATGATTCTTGGCCTACTTCCATGAAATTCCATACCATAGGTTCTGTCTTTGGATATCTACTTCAGTTTTCAGTAGACAGCTGTTCTTAACTTTCAGGCTGTGGCTAAGTATTCAGTAGTATTATTACTTACACTGGCTTAAATACTCTTAGTTGTATTGCTTTGCCTCCCTCTTTTCCACAGCTCTTTGCAGTGTGCCAGTGCAAGTACTGGTGAAACCATACAGTGAACTGCATCAAAGAACGGATGAAGCCAAAAGACAAACAGGCCAGGGGCTTTTTTGGCAGTTACGGCAGTCCAACTCACTGAAAGGTTGTCTATCAAAGCAAACCTAAAATGTGCTAGTTTTAAAAGTTTTACTTCTTTTGTAGCCCCAGGATTGTCATTTTTTAGAATTCACTGCATATTGGAGTTAAGAAAGCCATCAAATAGAAGACAACGATATGCCAAGGATAATCAATTTCATTTTCTTCAGAGGCAAGTGCTTTTAAGCTCAAGGGTGAAGAAGAAAAAACCATCTATTTAGAAAAACAGCAATAAATGTTTCAGAGCAGGCACAAGAAACTTTTATAATAATTTCAGGAAAACATGTATGATTTATTTTTAAGTCAGTTTTTGCATATCTTCTGTGTAAAGTTACAGCTCTGCATTATACTGATCAATAAATACACTGCTTTTTATATACAGATACTATTTCCTGATTATTTGAAAAAACTAACTAGTTATATTTAAAAGTACAAATAAAAGAGATTCCAACTTCTGTAACAGAATCAAAAATATCTGATCTTCTAAGCTACTAAAATTTAAGATGTAGAACATCTTAAATTGAAGATCTGCGTTAGAGGTAAAGGAGGGTAACAACGAACTTGAGAAATCAGGATATATTGCAAGATGGGGTATCAAATCTAAGTACTAACCCATTGTTTTTCTGAGACAAAAGTGGTTTTCTTTTCCTGCCCTTAAAAATCATTACACTGCTGTTGGGGAGGAGTTGTAATTTAGGAAGAAAAGCTACAGACTGTCTGAGCAGACATGGCAAATATCATAAAAAGTCAGAGCATATGTCTGCAGATCACTGGGTTCTTCTGGAGTTCACTACTATGACAGCTGGTAGACAACAGCCCACAACTTTAATTCTACACTTCAGGAATCCAGTCCTCTTTCCACTGATTAGTTCAAAAAAGGATACAATTTGACCTCAGCTCTGCATCTGCCATTTGATATAACAACTTAATGATTTTACACCATCATGACATTCTGCCAGCTTTCATCCTGAAGTTGGAAGCAAAGGAAATTAGTAGTCCCATCATTCTATTTTACCTTAAGTTATTTTTCCTGCAAACTTCTATGTTTTTTCACATTTTCAAGAAGGAGGAGTGTTCACCTAAAAAGATAAACTGAACTTTACTGTCTCATTAAAAAGTGAGAACAGCAGCATTTTTAAGAACAAGAAAAGAACTCTTACAAACTTTTAAATGAAAACGTCCCAGTAGTACCTTACCCAGCTAGGGGTTCTGTTCTGAATGGGTAATTATATCATTCTATATCTAGTAGTGTTGTTAGCTTCTATATGGAAAGAAGCAAAGCATTATTTTCTGTTGCACGAATGAGTTTTCTCTTTATTATTAGCTTGTAGACAGTAACTTCCAAATCAGTATTATGTAATGGTAACACAGTGTCCATAAATACTGACAGAATCAGTCCACACCACTTACTCATTACAGGTCTACTGGAAAAGGGCTCCATGTATTTACATAAAAACCACACCTGATAAAGTTTTGTCAAATGCAGTGTATCCACTTTGTTGGAAATAGCATTGTACCTGGATGTACCACTGCATCTCCTTTCTTTTTTTAATCCTATCCAAAGAAAAGATAAATACAGTAGGTATTATACCTAACTACATTGAATTTTGAAGAGTTTTGCTGAAGTATTTTAAGTAATAGAGATCACTAAAACAACATATGAAAAAAATCTGCAGAGGACCTCAATGTTAACCAGCTTAATGCATTTGTCTTACAATTAACACTTTAGCAGGAAATCTTAATTCAAAATAAAAAAGTGCTTCAACCACATGCAAGGATCCATAATAGCTTCAAAAGCTATCCTGTACCTTTGAAGCGATCCACCAACATAGCACTAATATTTTTAAAGTCAAGTCACGTAACTCAAGGGGTAACAGTTCAGTCCCATCAGAATTCTTTACTATTTTCAAATCAATTAGTTTACTGTGCTTATTATTATCGAAACATTATATTATACTATGCCCCAACTTCCATTACCTGCATCCTGAAAGAAACCTCTAATCAGGATGAGGTCAACTCAAAGTGATTCTTCCTTTAAGTTAAACACCAGTCCTCTTGCATCTACATGAAAAGGAGTAGTTTTGTGGTACTATTTAATTGAATTAATTACCTGTTACTTGACAGTCATTTTTACCTATGTTCATCACATATATATTGCAATACAGTGCCAAACTGGTCAGGCATTATTTCCAGTAAACGAAAAGGGTAACAGAGCATTTAATGCTCTAACCACTGTGCTTTGCACAATGCATAGTTCATAAGTATTTTGTAAAAACAGAAATTCCTCAAAAGCACGGCTGAATTTCCACTGAAGTTTGAAGAAGAAAACATTCTGACTGAACAAACTTTGGCAATACAAGCATTATCTACAAATCCATTTCTTTTAAGAATGCATAGACACACATCCCCCCCACCCCTTCTGATTACAGACAGGTAGTACATCCATTTTGTATCTTTCCCAATCTTTTGGCAGCTGGCTACTTAAACACTTAGCACTTTTCACACTATACACACACCATAACGGTAAATACTAATTTGATACACAAACCCCAGAACTTTCAGAAGTTAACATTAATCACCATTTCTTTTATCACCATACTGCTAACTTGCTATTGCCCCTCCCAATAGATTTATGTCCACATGAAGGAAGTAATATATTTGTGCCTGTTTCCCAGGCAGCACCTGGAGATTATCATGGCTCGTACTCAAGATTGTCTCCTCCTCTCTACTATTAACAACTCCAGTTGAAACGGGCACATATCCTCTTTTCTTGAGGCTTGCACGTGCCTTTTCAGTGTCCTGAAGGTCCACGGCCAGCTCTGCAGAGGCAGCGGGTCACCCCATCCTGCCCCGTTTCCCAGGCAAGCAGCACAGCACAGGGATGCACAAAAGGCAGCTGACCCTGCTGCATTTCTTAACTTCTTCCAGTGCTTCTAAACCATTCTAACCATCAACTAAAATTGAATTTCTGTTAAACCTGATGGCAGTAATTTTTATGCAGATCACTGAGGACAGAAAAAACAAGGCTAGCCTATCTCCCGACCCCGTAGAGAATGAGTTACCATACCCAAACTACCCCTCCAGAGAAGATGGGGACTTTGCTGTTGGAACAAAGCAAGAACATCATGGGCAGCACAGGGAGACCGTGACAATAAGCACCACTGGGGCCACTGTGTTTTGGAAGCAGAGCATAAGGAGGCAACGCATCCAACGTAGGAGAATGGAGTAGGAAACCAGACAGAGAGTTATTGTAGATGCCACCTCCCTTAGCAACCTACTGAAAATATTTTGTTGGATCATTGAGTGTTCACTCTCATACCATTCTCCATCATAACATTAAAAGAAAAGTAAATAGCTTACCTCTGATGTACTATCCTCTTTAAAAAAAAAATAAAATCTAAAAGGCTGGCAGCACTGTATGATTTCAGTTTTGTTACCAGAATTTTATTTTTTCACATTTATGAAGAGCAGCATAAGCCAGTGGAGATAAGTGGAGAACATATATCTTCCCCTTAAAACTTCTCTACCTGACTGTTATAACGTAAATGGCATTTTGAATCATCAATAGTTTTTGGCAGCAATAGAGATTAATATTGCCAATTGTGGTGGTTTGTTTTTTTTTTTAATCCCGCAAGTCACAATCATTGAAAATAAACCAAAGTGCTGTTCTCAGTGATTCTTCTGTCAAAAAAACCCCCACAAAACCCCTAACACTGAATGCTTTTTTTAAAAAGTACTAACTCACAATAAATAGAAAAGTTGTAAGTAACTTTAATAACCCATGATATAAACATGGTTGTCTACGACTGCACAACTAAAGCTGAAATAACCATAGGTTTGAAAATTTGTACTGTTACATGAAAGCTGTCTGGGATAAACAGGGAATATATAAAAAGAATGTCACTGCTGAAAGAATAATTTGCAGTCATTAAGATGATGACAGCTCCACTCCTGAATGTGAAACGAAACAAAGCTACAAGTATGTAGTGTGTAGTCAGTTTTTTACTCTTCAGTTTTAAATTTTTTTTTTAAATATTATTTATTTTTCAATAGAATAGTTTTCATGGTATTCACTGCATGGTTTTTTATGAACTGCTCTACTTGGCCGTTATTTAGAACTGTCTAATTTTCCTAACAAGCAGAAAACTAAGATAACCTATGCAAGTCAGAGATTTTGGCCTCTGCTCCTAAGAGAGAAAAATCATAAAGGAAGTACTAAATGAACAATGATGCAAAACAAGTTTTGATGCTGATACAAATTCAGGATTTCAGTTCTTCCCAGACTATCACTGGATTTCCCATAGAGTCATCTCAATCCTACAAAGAACTGTTAACACTGAATATGAACCACAAAACTACCCTTTGCCCTCCAACATATGATTCTGTATGGCAATACTAAACTGGCACACACAAAGGAACAGTTTAGGAATTCAAATGGCTAGACGTCAAATACAGTTATTTTGAACGGGAAAAAAATAATTAATAGACTGTCTCAAAAAAACCCAAAACCCAACAACACACAAAACCAACAAAAGATCTAATTCTAGAAAAAGAAACTGGCAAGGAGAGCAGGAATTCAACATTAGGGCAAGCTTCCTTTCTATCAAAATCCTATCATCACTGAAAATGGTTAAATTAAAACAATAGTTCTTCCAAACAGTAAATCATGCAGAGAAGCTGCCCAGATTTACAACTGCAAAACCACGATGAGCAGAACTTAATCAAACAGAATAACTGAAGAGGATGGAGACAAATCATGGAAGTTATCAGAAATCCATCCAATCTTTTTTAACAGGGCTTCAGTCAGGTAAAGAACACAAAGAAGAACAGAAAACAACCTGACTCACAATATACTTGTAACAATAAGTGACCCTGCTTTGAAATAAAAACTTAGATGCCATTAGAATAGGGTCTAAACCAATTATATTATCTAACCTACCCTAACAAAAGCTTCATTAAAATATTCTTTTCCAATAAAAATCTCTTTACAGACAAATACAGTATAGAGAATACTTTTAAAATCAACAGAGTGTGAGCAATTACAACAAACTATAATTTTCTCTGAAGACCTGTTCCCTGAAGCTTTAAAAATCACAGTTGGACTATCCTGATTTATCAAGATACAAGATCTGATCAAAGATTTTTCTAAGGATGAGACATTCATAACATTTCTTCTGTGTAAATTTTCTGACGTACAGCTGTATTTACACCACAAATGCATGTATTATCCACGGGCTAATACATGAGTGGCTGCTGGGGCTTCTTCCTGGTTAAGACAATAATTTTGTTCTCTTCTCTCCCCAGCCCCATTTTCACAAAACCACAGGATGTCCAGGAATGCTGAAATCTATCAAGTTTGGGTGAAACTGGCCAAAAGATTTAAAAGTTATAAAAAAGAGACACATACAAACAACGTGGTTATATAGGCATCACGTCCAATCCCTAAAAAACTTACCTAGTTGCAGTATCATGATTGTATCACTGAAGGCACGTGTCACTAATCCGAAATGTCTGTGTAGGGGATAGCATAGCACTCTTCTTCCAAAAGATACCAGGACATCATGAATGCTAGTGAAACTCTGTGTGTATCAGTGAAAAATCTGAATTAGTCTACTTGCTTTTCAATACAAAGAATTAGGGGGTTTTTTTGTTTGTTTTCCTTTAAGGAAAAAAGTCATAGCAACATAGGAAAAAAACCCCACATTTTTATATGTTATGCATCTAAAAATCTGTATTTTAATAGATCTGGAAATCAAGATGTTAAATAGAAACAAGACACTGCACATTTATTTTGCATGGCAGGATAACAGAAGTCCTATACATTTTAGTGGTTTTGAATTAAAAAAAGAATGTAGAGAACATTAGAATATAACATCTAACTCAAGACTTTGCCATTCTTTAGATTAAAGCAATAAATTACATCTGTCCCACATTATTACATATATTAAGGGGAAGCTATAAAAAGCCTTTTAAGAATAAAGAAAAATTAAAACCACATGATATTAACAAAATACATGTGTACATATAAGATCTTTAAAAATGATACATGACTCTGCCTTCCACGAAAATTATAGATATTCAAGACACGGATAAATATATCTGCCTAGGGAAAGCAGTTCATTGTCCCCCTTTACAAGTGATGAAGACCTCCAATTTACTCAGGCCAGAGGCATTAATGAGTTATTAAAGACTTTCTTAAGAGACTGATTTCCTTTCCAGCTTTGACTTTTCAAGACAAAATATTCCATTTATGAATTCAAATAAAAATATGTATTTTTATCTTGAACTCTCAATTTATTAAAATTAATAAAAGTGCTTTGCTTGACAGCCAGCACTTTTTTGCATTATATGACTACCCCAATCCATTTTTCATTTTAATGGATCACCAGTAAGCATTTAAATAATTTATGTTTTGTTATTTAATATTTAGAGTCTAAGGTGTGTACATGTCATGCACAGCAAAATGGCAGTCAGTTCAAACAAACCATAGCTGAGGCAATTTTGTTTACAGATTGATGAAAACACCCGCCTCTACATGGTTTGTATAACAGATATAGTTATTAACAGCTTGGTGCCAGGAGACTGAATTTTCTGGGTGTGAAATATACTGTTGGCACAGGCTGCGCCAACAACTGTTACATTATAGGATAAGCACATGCAGAAGACTCCTTCGCTATGTTAGGATATGGATCTGAAAAAAATTTGAGCGATAAGGCAATCACTGCATTTTAACTGCACTCCTTTGTGACTTACTACTGCAGAACATTCAACTGGAAACAAATTAAAACTAACAGATCTATAAAACCAGTTGTCACAGAACAAGTTATTACTGAATATAACATTCGCCACTACTAGAAACATTTGAAGGTCTGAACCAAAAAATCCTGTCAGAAATTTTATTTTTGATCCTGCAAACTGAGACTTGGCTCAGTAATTTCAGGAATGAGGACAGGACAGTCCTTTCTACCTTGCTGCCATCATAAAAAACAATGGATTACAGGCCAGGTTAAGTCCCTCCATTTCCAGCTCTGTAACAACTTAATCACACATGCCAATGTGCTTTCAGTAAACAATTGGAAAGTGCAAGGAATAGAATTCAGTTTGTTTCCTCTAGTCTATGCTGGTTTCAAAGGGCTAGCAGCAACTAAACAAATAGAGATGTGGCAATAACACTGAGAAGAAGGGAGCAGGTAAAGCAACACATGCCCACTGATTAACTCTGCAAGAAGCCTGAAACAAAAGTACTCAGCACTTGTCTGAAAAAAATCACACCATCATTAAAGCCTTAACGAGACAACAGTTTTACAACTACAGAACTGATGTCTTTTTGCTACAAGAATATGGAAGTCAGTTTCTCCATTATAGGTGAAAAAAACCCCATGCAAACCTTTTGATTGAGTCCTAAGAGCTTTTCCTATTATTGGGTTTGCATTTACTTCTGGCCTTCCAGTTCTTCTCCAACGTACTCTGAAGCCACACAGCAGAATGGAGAGGCCAGAAGCCACCTGAACTGCAGCCAAGAAAAAGAGCAAGCTAGAAGTGCCAAATGATGAACTAGGAAGGCTGAAGAAAGGCTCAGCAGTCAAAACCCCCAGAATTGAACAATAATCTGCTTTATTAAGGCCTGACAGCTTCAAAAGTTATTAAAACACACATCTGAGGTAGGACTTAAAAGACACAGGAACACTAAGAAATTACATTCCCTGCTTTTTATGCCCTTTACCCCCTTTCTATCTTAACATGCTTTAGCCAGTTAAACGGGAAGGTACCTATGACTTCTCATCGAGGAGCTAGAAGGCTCTATTTTCTTGCGCCAAGCATGGAGTTGCACACACATACTGTGGACACATGTGAGGAGTAATTACAGTTACTTCCTAAATAAAGGTCAGGAGCTAGGGACAGCGTGTAGACAAGCAGCTTTCTTGTAGTGCTTAGCCTTAGCTTTTCCAGAATGGGCCAGCACAAGGTCCAGCACCCAGACAGACGAGAGGCCATACTCCAGCCTCTTGAGGCTACTAGTAGCTGGGAGCCCAGACATCACAATCAATTTCTTGTAGCATTTATTAAAAAGATGGCATACACTTAATTCATCTTCAATACTGAGAGTAAGCTTTCCACAAAGGCAACATACAATACCAAAACCAAGTAATACAGCAAACACATAATGAAAAACCTAAGTTTTAACTTACCTCCAGCCAGCACAATGTTGCACTCAGTTTCCTGATGTTCCAAGATGATTCAACCTGATTTTAAGAGGAGACCATAAAACAAGTATTATCTAATTCAACATTCAAGACTGCTGGCAAACTATTTAAGATAACATTCTGGCAGCAATTTAAGAACCTTTGTGAATATGAAGCAGTAATTATATTACATGCATTGAAATGGTCACAGGACAGCATTAAAAATTATATTGCAATGCAGATGTTAAATAACTGAATTGGTTTCCGTATTGGGAGTATCTAGCCCATGCACAAAGCCTTTAAAATACAACAGTAATCATAGAAAAATGGTATTTTAGTGGAATTCTGTCCCTTTTCACCGAGCAACAGAAACTGGAATCAACAAAGCTCAAGCTAAAATGCCCTGTTTTGTGAAAACAGCTCAAAACTTTTGGCTTTCACAGAGGCTCCTAAAGCCAGCAGCACATGTAAAATGTCATTATTCTTAAAATGTGACAGATTCATAGTATTTGTGTGGTAGTGTGGTCTACTGGGATGATTAGGGCAAAAAGCCAGGAAGCCTTGATCTACAATCCTGGCTCTAGTAAAGATTTGCGTGGCTTGAATGTCTTGGTTCTCCTTTTTAAAAGGGGAGAAAGAAAGAAAGAAGAAAAAAAAAAAAAAGGAAAAAACCCCACAGCGTGTTTTCCACATATACCATATGGTTATTGCAAAGATCAATAAAGAATTGTACAATTGTGTTCTTTGCATATTTGCAATTTTGTGCAACGCTAACACACAAATACAACAACCATCTTAGACTATATTCTGTTGAATAAGCAGGTCTGGACATTTCTGCCTGCCACTCAAAAATCCATGCCCCGCAATTCATTCTGATTAAGACGGAATGGTTTTGATTATACGTTTCAATATCTTGATTAAAAGCATGGAGAAAACATCTCATTGGTTAATATCAACAGAGGAGACGCTAGGCATAAAGTTATATCTAGGAAGCAAGCCCATTTCAGAACATCCACAGAACAGCATGGAATCCATTCTAAACTTCTCAATTCTTTACATCCTGTAAAAAGTCTAGGATGCAGAACATAAAATAACACTGGCTGCTGCTTGTGTAAGAGATGGGCAACACTAGAATCCTGAAAATGGAAACATGCCTTCCTACAGTGTTTGAATACTAGAAGAATAAAACTGTGCATTATGATTTTTTTATTTTTTTGAATGTGTGTCAATTTTTAAAATTTCTAATGTCTCACTCTAGTTTCCAGAATGCCTCAGAAAACACCTTCCATACTCAGTGCATATGCTTTAAAAAAAAAAATCGAAACAAACAAAACCACAAAAAGACCCCACAAAAAACTTTTGTTAAAGGCATATAATGGCAGCCTATATAAAACACTGTGCAGTTTCAGTTCTACAGACTTAATAATTTCCTATGCTTTTTCAGAATCCAAATCAGTAGTGGTGTTATTACAAACACACCTATTACAGAACTGTCCAAAAAACAGAAGGAAGAACCATCAATATAAAAGAACAATTATTTTGTGAAATCTGCATTTACAGAAATCAAGACTCATCACAATACAAACCAAATCAGAAACAAACAGAATTGTCTGGAGTCTCCTGCAACTCCACTTCTCTCCTACAGCTCAAACGCTGCTCCAGAAGAACAGAAGTATTTAGAAATCATATTAATCCCCACGTGCACCCCAACAGCTCAATCTAGAGATATAAAGACTTTCATTTTACATTTCTCAATTATACATTTTTTAATTCTTGGAAGTTCACTTTAAAAGGTAAGTTTCCTAAATGACAGTACAGGGTCCAGCACTAGGTTCCAAAAACATACTAATTTTTTTTTAAACTTACATTCTTGTCTCCTTCATTAACACAGATTTCATAGCAGTATGCCAGAAGGATATCAATTAAACCAAGATATACATGATGACGGCTTCTTTTATCCAGAAGATAAGATTTATTCGTGAACTTTCTCAGCTGCTCTCTCTCTTCCTCAGAGAAGACAACTATAAAAAGTAAAAGGATAATTGATTATGAATTTAAAGCTGGCACATTCATTTTAATAGGTGGTAATACTACTTCAACAGTCTCTTTAAAAAGAATCATGTAACTAATCACAAGTCACTCATCACTCAAGAAAGAAAAAGCCTAAATCATTCTTACTTTCATTTTTAACTTTTATTAAACTCTGATATATTCCTTTCAAAGTCAAGTTCCAGCCCTGCAATGTACTGCATGTACTCACTGGCAATTTTGAACCCCTCTGAAAGTCCCAAGCGTTTCTGTGGATGCCTGGGTACCTTATACAGAGATAAATGCACAAGTTTCAACCCATGTTGTATGGGATAAAAATAAGAAAATAGGATAATAAAACCAAATATATTTTCTGATTGTGGAAAAGGGCAAGAACTAAAGAAATAGAGAAGGGAAAAAAGAAAAGGTACAATTCTATATTTCTAGGCCTCCATTTCAACTCATGACCTTGGCATGATTTAGGAGCTTCATTTATGCTGTCTGATAACATCCTTCCAGTGTGTGAGGAAGATCAAAGATCAAAATCCCATCCCCGCCGATGAAAGCTGCATCTCCTCCCAAATCCACCATCAGTGACCGTCATATTTTGCTTATCTTCATTGCACCTCATTTACTTAAGAATGGCTATATTGAGCCAACCCAAAGAATCTTCTCACCCAGTACCTCCTCTTTGGGAATGCATGATGAAGATGACAAAAACAACATAGCAGGCATGCTGTGACTAAATCAAAGTACTTCTCTAGGAAACAGCGGTATAGACATGGGTAGCTAAGATTGAATACTGAATGGTAACCCTTCTGAAGAGTACTTAAAACACTTCAGAAAGGATGGCAGAATTGCCTTGAAATAACAGTAGAGATTAAGTAGATAACTGACTAGAAGCCATCTCTGTACAAACTCAAAGTCAATCAAGAAGCCATTTAGTACAATTAAAACAGCCAGAAGCCAGAGCAAAGAGATTTTCACCCAGGCTGCATGGAGCACAGCAATTCCATGTCAACAGGCTCCGATTTACTGAACAGATAGATGTAACGCGCACATTTTGGTCACATCACAGAAGACTGTTACGGGTACAAGGAGAGTTGACAGGAGAAAGCACTGTTACTTGCTTAACAGCTGATGCTTTGTTGCGTTGAGGAAGTCCCACTCTGTGATTTGTTCAAGCATCAGTAACACCGGAAGCAGCCCGAGTTTAAAATACCACACACTGAAGGAGATTTCTCTGACGACAAAGGAACAAGCTTAATGCAGCACTCTTCTTACACTTTCAAAACAAGCCCTAAATGCCAGGGGTAGATACATGATGTACCCCTTAACTGATTGATTTTTAATTATTAGAGGGGGGGGCATGACCAAAACCTTACAATCAATATCAAAACACATCTTCAATTATTCTTTTACCACTCCTTTTTTGAGTCACTGTGTTCTGGCATACTTAGCTGGGGGCAGAGAAAAACTGTAGGTAAGATGTACAAACTTTAAAGTGCAAAACATTTAACGACTAACTTGCTGAGATGAGGCAGGCACCTGGGAAGGGTCAGCCTTTGTGGCTCCCCAAGACAGATCCTTGAATATTGCTGAGCCATCATCTTCATCAGCACTGAAGACTTGACCTGATAACCCAACAATTCCTGCCCCAACTTGATTCCCTGTTTTTCCACTTTAGGATTTTGTACCTTCCATGATGGTATTTACCTCTGGAATCCTTGAGCTATTAATGATCCTGTCTCAATAATCCTAACTGCAATTGCACTGTTATTTTTCTGCAGACTCTCTCACAGTTCTTCCTCAGCAGCATACGCCAAGGTTATGCTGCTGGGCATAACCCATAATCCAAAGCCGTGGACCCTGGGAGGCAGGCAGCTAAATTCCCAGGGGAAGCTTACAGCAATAGGTTACACAAAGAAAAGGTTACAACTCTTAGTAAACCAAATTCCTTTTTACACCCCTTGTCCATTTCTCTATCATAAGGATGATGATTGCAAATGTGGTTATAGATGTTTCTCCTCAAACACTGCTCATCATCATTTTACACAATCCAGTCTCAGGGATACAATCTGCCTATAAGACATGTGGTCGCCTTTATCCCAGGAGCTTTCTACAAGCTTTCTAGTTTTATGACATGTTTTGAAACTAATGTTTGTAATGCCGAAGGCATGTACATATGCACACACCTCATCTTGAGACATAAAATTACAAATTAGGAAAAAACATTTTTTAATGTTTCTTCTTTATGAACTTTTAAAAATGTTTATATCAGCTTCATAACCATGAAATACTTGATTTAAATCCCTATGGAAACTTCTTGATGAGCTGAACATTTCTCTGGAGTCAAGCCAGTCTCCATTTATTTACAAGCTCCCACAAAAAGAAATTCCAGCTTTTATATCATCTTGAGAAAGCCAATCTCTTCCACTTGCTATGATCTAGTACAAAGTGACAATTTAGCAAGACTATGGCCGTTCTAACTCTGTTTTTCTGTTAATGCAATGCAGTTCAGTATTACTCCTTAAATCACAAATATAGATGATATATCTATATTCTATCAGCAAATTTCTTTATAAGTTCTTAAACTGCATTGATTCTTCAGTGAGTCATCTCTATCATTCATATTAAAATTATTCATAAAACCGTATGTGTAATGTTGTAGCACATTTGAAAAAAAATTAGTTTCTGAAAAACATAACATAAAACCACTTTGTAAGCTGCTACACCAGGGTAGGTTTAACAAAGTATCACAACAGGGTGTTTACAGTTAGAAGGTCCAATTGGAAAGAAAAAAGCCATTTCCAATTTCAGCTGGCTTTCACTAGAAAACCCTCTCCTGGAGTACAAAACAACTTGCTATAAAATAATGGACAAGCGGCACTTTCACTCTGAAGAGAAGCGCAAAAGAGGAGAGGTGAAACTGAAGCTAAAGATGGAAAAGAAATTCTGAAAAACAAACAGCTAAAAGTTTGTTACTGAAGACTACTACAGCAGATCAGATTCATAAAGCTCAAAATCACTTCTGATGACTACAGTAATAAAGAAGTTTGCTACAAAGAAGCTAAATAATTCCTTCAAAGCACATGAGAATCTATGACAGACAGAATATCTGTTAAACAGTTATGCCAGCACTCTCATATCTCTAGGCCCATCACGATGTGCTTGCTACAGTTAGAGGTCAAGATGTACACATGCCAGGAACACAACTGTTCTCTTTCTGAAACTCATTACATTCAGTACTGGATCCACTACTATGAATCCACTCTTCTTAATCAGCAACTAAAACCTGAAGATTGTTTTTGTTTCATAGCTGATAAAATTAGCTAATAAGATACTTATCAGAGATAAGAAACAGTCCAACACCGACAGCAAACAAATCAACTTTGTGAAGTTGTACTAACAAGCATTTTTTAGATTCCCAAAATCCACATTCTAGAGGAACATGTAAATGTGAACCATACTTCCCTTCTAAGTAGAAAGCAAAGCAACTCCTAGTGAATGTCATGAAATATACAAGATAAAGTTTTCTTCCTCTAAAACGCAAACTCTCTGAAGCATCATAACATATACAACCAAACCATAAACACAAAAAATAGAAGTCTACTAGACAACAGCAAACAAGACACAGACTAAACAATTCCCAAAGGTAAATGTTACAAGATGTTCATTAACTCACTGCAAAGCACCAGGTGTTCTAAATAAAATTTCTCTCTCTGGAGAAAATACTTCAATTTTACAAACAAGTATCTATCTATTCCTTAAAGTTTTTGAATGAATTATCCAGGCCTGAAATTCATTATTAACACATCAAAACTACCACCTACTTTGTTTTCCTAATGCAAAAAATACAAGTACATAGGAGAAGATTAACAGAACAAGTACAATTGTAATTACATATTCTGCTACATTAAGCCTGTATTTTGTACACTCATGTTACCACTCTTATCTAACAATACCTGTACAACAATTAATATTAATCTAATGCAAAACAGCATCAGCTGCTACTTATCAAGTACTAAATTTGCAAGTTTTCCTTAAGTTTGATTTTAGAATGTATTGTACATTTGTCAGTGCCAAAACTATAGTTCTTCTAGCCACAGTATAACTGTGTATGAATATATGCATGTCTATAGGAATCAGACCAATTAATCTCACACACAAAGTTCCTGTTAGATGATACTATAGAGATTGCCCTTACTCTTTAATCGTCTCCTTTACTTATTTTTAACTAGCCATTCCTCATGTTAAAATAAACATATTTAAAATTGCTCTGTCAATGAAGTACAGTTTAATCTCTAAAGGGGAGGATGAGGTCTGACAGCTAGAGGGTGTTTTGTTAGAGTATAACTGATATTTTACGCTGCCGATCACATCACTTAAATCAAGCCAGTGTAAGATCCGTATCTCAAGACTACTGCGACACTTACTGCTCTAAATGTGTTAGAGGTACTTAGATAAAATGTGCTATCTAGACAGATAGCCAACTCAGTGGGACTCAGAGAATCACAGAGAAGTATAGGTCAGAAAGGACCTCTGACTATCAGGTCTAGCCTTCTGGTGAAAGCAGAGCCTTGGCTTATGGTCCTGTCAAGCCAAGTCTTGAATTCCATAGCTATCTCAAAGGAAAATAATCCTCCTTTTTTTTTTTTTTTTAATGTTAACTAAAATATTATGCTACAATATTAAGTTTCTTAAACGTGTACTTCTATCCCTGTAAGTTAAGGAATCAGCAACACCAGATAAAGGAGGAGATTAGTCAGCAGAGAGCAAATTCGTCAGAAATAAAGTTAGCTATTGATTTTAATCAGTAGCACACAAGTCTCTTTTCAAGCTCTTCCTAAGACATGAAAAGAGGAAAGGCAGCATTAGGCTGACTAGAAAGACGCCCAAAGGCGCTCAGGATCAGCGTGTACCCCAGTGCTGGATACTGCCTTAAAAATTCTTGACAATAATACTGTAAACTTAAACAAGTAACTAAACTAAT